TGTTAAAATTTATCCTTGCACTCAAGAATTAACCCAAAATGTATATTGGATTGGCCACAACTGTCATATCTCTCCAAAGCGTTTGATGTTATTCAGTATCCACTCCTCCTTTCGAAACTGAGGGCCTATGGTATGGACGACAAAAGTTGTGCCCTAATTAGGAACTATCTCTCTAGCAGAACTCAGAGAGTTAAAGTTGGAGACACCTTTTCGACCTGGGAAAGCGTCAAGCGTGGGGTCCCGCAGGGGAGTGTGTTAGGTCCCATGCTATTCAACATTTTCATAAACGATCTTTTCTTCCACGTCAAGAAGGCCAAGTTGAACGCTTATGCGGATGATCATCAGGTATACTACTCCCACGTCGATCCGGCAGCTCTGGATGCATGCGTATCTCATGATGTTGGCGTGGCCAACCAGTGGTACCATGAAAATGGGATGTTAGTTAATGAGAGCAAGCACCAGTGTCTAATCCTCGGTGATACGGAGTATGGTTTTTCCTTCCCAGTAAAGGACACGTTAGAGATTTTTGGAATGGAAATAGATAATAATCTGAATTTTTCTAAACATATATCAAATGTATGCAAAAAGATTAATAATCAATTTAATGTTATGTTGCGCTTTAGAAAACTCATACGCAAGGAAATCTTATTCAAACTTTACAAAGCGTATATTTTACCTCACTTTTATTATTGCTCCTCTGTCTGGCACTTTTGTGGAGCGCGCGATGCAGATAAGCTCGAAGCTTTAAATAAAAGAATACTTAGATTTATACTTGGAGATTACTCGTCTCCATACAACACTCTTCTCTCAAAAGTCAGCTCTACTTCTTTGTTTAACAAACGCATTCAAAATTTCCTCATTCTGTTATATAAGAGTTTGTTTTTCACTCATTTTCCTACTTATATGAAGAATATGTTTTCACTCCGGTCCTCTTCCTATGATCTTCGTGGCAACTACATTCTTTCACTAAGTAAACCTAAAACAACTACCTATGGTCTTAACTCCTTTTCTTACTTTTCAGCTAAGCAGTGGAATGCACTGCCGGACTTTTTTCGTACCAGTTTTTTTGCAGACTTTAAGACTAAAATACAGGATGTTACCTTCATGTAGATTCTTTTTGCCTGACATACTTAAACTTAAAATTGTGAATTGTAAATGATATTTTCTTTCCTTGCATTTAATGTATATATATATTTTCTATATAGTTTTTATGTAGTGTCAGCTCGAAGATATTAGCTTGTTAGCTACTCTAAAATTCGAGTTTAAATAAAGTTTTATGTTATGTTATGTTATGTTATTTAAAACCCAAATATGGCAAAGTTATAATGAGGCCAACATGTGCCTAAAAATATGCACATGAAGTTAGTCTTGTAAGTAATAAATTAGGAATCATCTGAAAAATTAAGGGTGCTAACGCCCCAACCCTTTTCCCTCACCACTAAAGCCCTTCTCTCCCCAGGGTCTCCGAATCAGGGGTTTGATAGGTAGATGTGGCCCCATGATTATCGTGGTAATTAAAGACTGGTCATGGACGACTGGCCCAAGCTGCTGACTAGAGCGGGGAGCCCGAAGCTCCTTTTAGGCCTCAGTCAGGGACCCATCTATCACCAAGTAAAATTTTTAAGACAGTTAAAGTACCTTGAGTACAGTATTCCGCAAATGTTTTGTAGTCTTTCCTTGGCTTCCTTAAACTGCGACGGGTCGTCCTTCTTTCCTCGGAGCTACGCGACGAGCAAAAATGTAAAGTTATGAACATCTACTGTGACTCAAAAGAAAAATAAGAGGCTGTTCGCAGTCTATGGTTTCCCTTGCAGTCTGGGACTGCCTACAAAACATTGCTTCTCAGTACCGATCAGGCTTGAAACAGCCATGGCGCCTGCATACATTTGAACCACTTCACACTTAAAAACCATTTTTGACTCTTCAACATCCAAGCAGAACCAATACTTAGAAGCAATACCATTACATACTAAGACAAGCCCCTTAATAATGCTAACTTTGAAACTTGGCCTTCAAGTTACCGTAAGAACGCGCTAAGCCTTGGCATCTTTAACGCTTGCTTGTGAAAACCATTTTGCCAACTTCTGTGGTTTTTATTTCACGTCGACTGTTTTAAGATTGTATTACACAGAATGAGATAATTCTAAAATGACCTTAGCAAACTTATATTATTATCATCATTATTATTATTTTACTGTTATGATTGCTATTACATTATTATCATTATTATTAATTAAAAATTGTGAAAAAATTTTTTCAAACTGGCATTTTACTTATCTTCAAAGAGGATGCAGTCAAAATTCTCCCTTGTTTTTTAGCTTGAGGTAGTTCATAGGCGTGAAGAGGAAGCCCTCCTAACTGCTGATGCATATCGGGTGGCATTTGAGCAGCAGCTAGCGAAGAACTCCTCACTCATTTACGAACTACTAGAAAAGTCAAGATGGAAAAAGAAGATCAGTTTCCCCGGAAAAAGAAAAGAAAAAACAACGGGTGAAAATGGGTTAAAAAACGAAGAAGAACAGTTGCTCCAACAGATTAAAGCCCACAAAGACGACATAGTTGCAAAGCTCCTTGGAATGGTAAGCGTTTATGAAAAGAAAATCTTACAAATTCACAGCTCATGGAGGATTTTCGGTTGAATAATAGTCCAGTCTTTGTCTTCGTTCTTCCAAGGTTCCTCGAAAGCTCAGGCGACAATCGCTGTCCAATGGTCACGGCAGCGGTTGAGCAATCTTTTTAAGAGGATATAAGATATATGATTGGAAATAACGCCAATGTGGGTAGATAAAGGCACAATGTGCACTTCTTATGAGTATAAATGTGATTATTTCCTTGGTTGCTAACCCCCAAAATTTAGATTTTTCCCGGGAGGCCCTAAGACTCCTCCAAAGGAAGAGGCGGGTGCTTCCCTTTCCATACCCACTCAAACACGTCAGTGCTTCCAATCTAATCTGTTGCTCTTCTCCTTCTTATTTAAATTTTCTAGAGAACTCTGTATTTCTGCTGTGGGTCTCTGTTGAACTTAAATTTATTGATAATGTAGCGAAGCGAATCAAAAACTGCACCTGACTATATCGTCACCCTCCACGTTTACATGTTATGTGTCAGTACTGCTTTTCTTTGTTATTTGCAGCTCACTGACAATAGCGAGGCTCTTGCCCATCAAAGACTAGCGACCAAACTGTTGGCAGCGAAGATGAAAGAGATGGAGAGAGATAGTTCTGCATTTTCATCAAAGGCGTTACAAATTGAGACTTGAATGGTACAGCTCTGATTAAAAGTGTTGAAAAGTACAGTGAAGTTATAAAATAAGCTCTACTCGGCGTCAAAATTCCTTGAGATACTTTATCTGCAAATAAGTTTTTTGATCATTTATCCTGAAACGCCAAGACCAAAAATTGAACATTTAGGTCCTCTCCCCCCCCTCCCCTTACTAGTTCAGTTGATCAGTGGGATTATAGGTAGCAAAGAACAGTTAGCACCATAGAAAATAGGGTGGCCCAAACAGGTAACACCCGTGAAAGAACTAACAATAATGGTGGCTTGAACAGTAGCATCATATACAATAGGGTGGCTCAAACAGTTAACACCCGTGGAAAAGCTAAGAACATGGTGGCTTGAACAGTTAGCACCATAGAACTTATAGTATCAAACTTGTACCCGGTTCACGTTGAAAGTATCTTTACAGTTTTGTCGCCGATTGTAAGTTTTGGTTCTCAAGAAAAAGTGTCAAGAGGATTTTATGAGCGTGTGTGGAGAGCGTTTTCGATTGATTTTTGCTCGTTCTCTTTTTGGTGCGACAAATTCTTGTGTCGTATTAATGGCTCACCTCCTGACTTTATTTCTTTGAGCGGTTAATCAGAAAAACAAATACCTGGCTATCGCAAGAACCAATCTTGTTCTTTGATCAGTCGACGGAGAAACTTGCCGGCAAAAAGCAATTGTAAAAATAGGAAACTGGAGTCTTTATTTTAGCTTTGAGTGATTTTCACTCTTGGACGTGGGCTCATCAGCGACATGCCCATCGATATTTAAAGAGAATATACTTAAATTTCAGACTTTATTAATGAGCCTGTCGTATATTTATTAAGATCAGGAAAGAGACTGCACAGATCAGATTGTTTCATGTTAGGTCGCTACTATTTAAATGAAACATTTTTTATTTATAGCCTTAAGATTTATTTTATTGAGTGAATTTTTCATCATCCTCGTCAAATTGTCATCTAGGTGTGGCAATTCTCAGCTTGGCAAGTCAGTTGTGGCTCAGACTATTTTTATCGGAGAGGTTGCCTATTTATAACTTCTGCCTTTCCTTGTTTAGTGTAGGTATTGTAAATGTTATATTTAATATATTGTTTATAAATAGAAAGAAAATCGCATATTTTTGCAGAATACAGAGACCTATGTAAATTATGTAAACGAGGCCTTACACAAACACACTATGACGGCGTTTGGCAATATTAATATTATAAATTTCTTTATGAACAACCCCAAAACAGTGCCGTAGCGCGGGGAGGGGCCGGGGGACCCTCCCTCCCCAATAATTTTGACAGGCACGTTTACAGTAATTTCGTCAGCGGCCACGCTCTTCACGCTGGTCTTCGGTTCCATGTGTTCATTTCAGTTCGATAAAGCTTGAAAATTATTTCGTATTTATGGCTTCCACAAACAAAAATTAAGCGGGTATTAAACAAAGTACACTTCTTAAGTGGGTGCATGCCCCCAGACCCCCCTGGCAGCTCGCGCCTAATAAATCTAACCTTGCTACGGCACTGCAAAGCGATACCTATTACGGGTAAAAATACTGGCATTCAGTCCTGGACGGGGCGGGGCGTTTACGACCTAACCATTAACCAATAAAGTATTTAATTTCCTTCTCATTCACCATGGCATTTTTACAGTGAACTGGTGTTTACCACCGCAGACAGCTTTCGTCGGCCTTGTGAAACAGTCTCTTTTGAAGGACAGAGTGTGACACCATTTCGTTTAGTAGACGAAGAAGTTTGTTTTCGGAAGTAAAGCAATATTTTTTGACGAATTTTCCGGTTCTTCCATAAGCAGATTGATGGGTTTGTGCAGGAATTGAGGAAAGCTAAAGTTTCCGCCCAACTATAGTGGTTATAAGTCTTAATGTCCTGCTTCAAGATCTGGTGATAAATTGTAACAAATAAAACGGGTATGTTGAATAACAAATAGAATCCTACGATGAAAGAAACAGTTTTTGTAAGCTTTTCTTGTCTCTGTCGCCACTGAAAATTGGTAATATGCCCGATATGGGGTTGAACTTGGCGTCGGTGTCGACGCCAAACGAGCACCATTCCTACGTTTGCAGCTCCTGACAGCAAAAGAGAGAGAAACCACACAAGCAAATGCGTTGCTCTGGAGACATTGTTTATTCCCACCCATTGCAGACTTGTTAAAGAGACATTAAACATCCAGATGGCCAAGATATATTTAACGGCTCGTTTCGACGAGAAGACATTGTTGTATCTTGCATAAAGACGGACTGCCACAAATCGCTCGTAGCTTACAGCTGTAAGAGTCATAAAAGACACTCCGCAACAAATGTAGAAGGCATTAGAGTACATAACTCGAACGAAGCACGGAACTGTTCGATGCTGATTTTCCATAAGTCTGAAGGTGATGTAACCTGGTTGAACTGTGAGACCAACCAAAATATCAGATAGAGCCAAGCAGCCTATCAAGAGATTTGAAGGTGTTCGAAGTAGAGTGTTGTTAAAGATGGCAATGGTAATCAAAAGGTTCAAGATGACGGCAAAAGGGGAGGAAATGATATTTATGATGGCTGTTAGAAGATTTACCAGGAAACGCTCTGAAACTCGGTCAAAAGATGGATCAGGAAGATGAAAGCAAGATGACGTTGACGTACTGTTAGCCATGGAGAGGTTGTCTGCCATCTTGACTGACTGCAATGTTACAAGAAAAGTATTTAAAAAATTTTAAAAACAGCAATCGTTTAAGACAAGGAAAATATTCCGGAAGCCGGTAGCCCCCTTTTAATAATTGGTATAAAACACAAATTCAATCTATTGCTGACAGAAAATTGATGCGTGTTGTAGTTAAAGGCCATTAAGTGGCAGTGAGATACTTTTTGGCTTGAAAGCTAAAAAAAGGTTTCTGCGGAAGAAAACTTCAAAGTTGCCGCTTTGGATCTTTTATTACTATTATTTGGGGTCAAAATATAAGTTTGCAAATTCCTACCAACAACGCGGGGACCAGAAAAGAAGCAATCCTTTAGGCTGTTCCAGGCGTTCAGATAGTGGGGAGCGGTGCGAAGCAAAAAGGAGCGCGAAAAAATAAAAGCGAGGGAGGGGGCTCTCCCCAGTCCCCCTCTACTTTTCATCGCTTTCTTTACTTCGCACCGCTCTCCACTATCTGAACGCTTGGAACAGGCTAGCAATCCTTATATTGCATCAACCGTAAGCAAATTATTTTTGACTAGTGTTTCGGTAAAAAAATAATACTTCCTTCTTGTTTTAGCACTTATACTTATTTCGTTGACTCAGTTCCGCGCAAAAGTCATGAAAAGTAAAGTATAAAACACAACAGAACGCTCTACTGGAACTAGCTGGAACTGGCCAAAGCTGAACAATAAAGAAAACAGTGATGTAGTTTTTCTCCCTGTCATTTTATGAGCCTTGAACGTTATCCACACTTAATCGCCTCGAATTCAGACAAGAGATGATTTTCTCTTGCTTCTTAAATGTTATCCACTCACAACAAGAAAGAAATGAAGGCAACAGGATAAAATAGTTTGTTTACATTTCCCATGTTAAATGCTCAAATAACTTGCGATCATCATAAAGAATGTCAATATTACTTGATGGGAATTCAAATTATTCCATTATATCAGGACAGAATTGTGTTTTATTAGTTGGTGGAATATTCAACATATTGTCAAGAGGTTGTCATGATTGCCGGCACAGGAAGCCGTTTGCTCCGTGCAGGTGCATCTCTGTCCAAGATCTATGAATTTATTAACAAGGAACGCTTAACCAAAAGCTCCGTTGTTGTTCTGGTGGTATTTTAAAAAATGAGTGACCTAAAAAACAATTCAAATAAACTTTAATCGCTTACTATCTCTTCTCACAATTTATTTTCGCGCATTTAAAATTCTGCTGGTTCATGTAATTTACACGCGAATGATCTTCGCACGTTAACAGCGATATTATTTTTTAGTTTTACAATTCTATGCCTTAAAGATCGTTTCTTTAAACAATTTAGACCTGTTTAAGCCTTAAAAAGGGCTTCTTTTTTGCCATAACCCTTGAATATATTGACTGATCTACTTTCATATAAGCCTAGTCAGCTGCCTTCTCTTGTTTGATTTGCTATACCGGTATATTTCATTCCGAGCTTTTGACTGTTAGAGTTTAAAACTCTCGTAGAGACCCGACACTTAATAGTGCTGGTCAAAACCCCATATAATTCCAGTTCGCCCGTTTCAAATCAAACGAAAAACGAGAATACCTTTAAACTGTTGATTTCAGTAGTCTTTTCATGTAATATGGCTGGGAATTTGCTTTTACAAATTAAATGCGTATATTTCCCTCAAGTAAACATCGTCTAGGCTCAATAATGACCTGAAAGTTTTCTCGGGATGGATCATAACTTACCTCTACAATTATCTGTACTGTTTTTATGACCAATGACCATACAAACAAGAGAAACTATGTCACACTGAGCCTCTTATCTATCGTCAGTAATATCACACGGCACGTGCACTTGCCCCGTAAACCTGGCTATCATGTGAAAAACAAACCTCTCTATCTTGCCTACTTCAGAAATTCACTTAAAAGGAATTCTTAAGAATTAACTTTTTTCCTTGAACGGGACTCGACTATCAGGAGAACTTAACTTTCCATTAACATCTTAACACCCCCTGGTGTCTATCTTCTTAATGGTGCGTAGTCACAATTTAGTTGGTTTAAAAATAAAAGCAGTAGTACCGATACGGGTTGGCCCTGTTCGGTTTGAGTCAGAAATATCAACATATATGTTAATAATCATTGTGCTCCTTTTACATATCGTCGAAATCAGTACATTTGAAATTTTCCCTTGAAGTCATAAATTTTCAGACTTTAATTAATCGATCGATTTGTTCCATCGGATACAGCATCTCTGCAGTCTTTTTTTTTTTTTTTTTCAACAACTTATTATATATATATATTTTTTATCAAAAGCAAGAGTGCCCATACTCATTCCCCCCGAATTCTTGCTTTTGTTATTTTTTGTCGGAAAACTGCAAAAATTAATCATTATACAAAATCCCATGTAGTACAGTGTAGGGAGCAAATAAAAACAAATGTTCCATGTGCCCTGAGGACAAGGCGAAGAGTACTTTTCCTTGAAAGAATTAAAAGGCTAAAATAATCGCAGATTTACGCAGTCAATAAATGAAAGAAACAGTAATAACTTCACAAATGACACTCACCAGCAACAGTACTAAAAAAAATAACGTTTCTCTTCGGCGACCCTTAGAGTTTTCCCGAAATTTTTAGACGGGTCCCAATGATAAGCTGCTTTACTATCCAAGATGTTTACACAAGACAACGGCCTGTGAAAATAAATGAATAAAGAATCGGCGCCTGCTACGCAGGCTTCCTGTGGAATCCAAGATCCTGGGTTGAAGTAACCAAAAATTGCTTTCCCTATTTTTTTAGTCGTTAATTTGGTGCCTACTATATATAAAACTTTGTGAAAACAGAATGTCTCACAATCCAAAGAAAAGATTTTAATTAAAACTAGGAACAATGACCACGAGGCAAGAATTCTTGACACCTAACTTACTCCAAAACCAAACAAAATGTCCAATGTGAAGCAAAGGTAGTGGGAAACCAGAGAATGAAATAAATACAGTGTAGCAACCTTTAAGTGCACAAATTCCAGTATTTGTAATTTTACCCTACCTTCAACTTTAACTTTGTTTGTTATTTGTTATGTCACTTCGCATCATAATAATTAATTAAATCAACAACAATTTTCCATGGTCTGTACTCTTATGGACCATAGAAATGATGTTGAAATGTTCAAAACTCAGGTGGAACCATGAGCCACAGGCGAGTGGTTTCACCGCAAAGTTTCGAACATTTTGACATCATTTGAATCTATGGTACACGTGAAGTCCATGGAAAATTGTTGTCGATTTGTTTTTTACAATAACATTGACAGATTATATTGTCGATTTCCATTAAAGTTTCCTAGAAATTCATGCGTTCTTCAATGACAAAAACAAATTGTGTCCCCATCAGCTCATTTCCTTTGTCTGTACACTCATTGAACATGGCTCTTGACCAACCAGTGGGCAAGAATTCGCTCAGTGATTGCAACACAACATTGGATGAGGAGGAATATGATCTGAAGACTTGGAGAGTTCAGCCTCCCAGATCTCCATAATTCTTCAGATCATATAATATATAAATTTAGCCAGGGCTAAAGGCGAAGCTCTTGTAATATACTTGAAGTTTACTCAAACAAAATATAAAATCGTTTAATGCTAAGCAGTAGCAGTAACGAAAACAGAAAAAAAAACAATAGGTCTTATATTAGCAAAAAAACAACTTTGCATGTGCAGCACACTTTTTTGTACATTTCTTCGCTGTTGCTTTGCACGACTATAATGTGAAACTTCCAGATACTTCCTCAGGTTACACGTTTTATGGAGGAAATGTCATATGTGTTCCTATTTGCTTTTTTTCCCTGCTGCTCATTTTCTCCTTGGTGCAAATGGCCACTAGCATTTCTCATTTTCTCACTGCCACTATAAAATTTAAATGTTTTTCTTCCAGTGAATTTGGTCTCCTTTGTTTTTTTCTCTCACTCTAGCTCTTTCTCTGTTATCCACATAAGTGTAGACATTAACATTTAGGCAAAGAAAAAGACTTGGCTTTGTTGTTTTTTTTTTTTCTCCCTCTAAAAGTCTGGGTGGCCATGCGATTTACCGCAAAAATGTGCGAGTCCTTGAAATGCGAAATTTCACCCTGGTTTTATGTGAAGGGGTGACATATGCATATACATACTTATGGATGATTTGGTTAGAACCAAAAATTCTTGGATGCATAGATAACCAAATTTTCTTACCCATGGCGCTCTGCTGTGCACTCTTCACGTGTGTGAGAGCTCCACTAAAAGCTGAATCCAGTAATTGTTTTATCATTCATTTGAAATCATCCCTAGTTTAAAAACAAGCTACTAAAACAAGCTTACCTAAATCGATGCTAAGTTCCTGCGTCCAGTTGCCTATTTCTTGGCAAGTTCAAGACATAAAGGGATGTTCTGCAGATGTTCTCTGCACAGCAGGTGTCATCTGGCTTCAGTAATAATTACAAACCTGTATACTGCTATTAAGCCAGAATGATACATTTTCATATTATGGTGCAGAAGTTATTCTAAAAATACAAATTTGAAAAAAAGGCTGAATAGAACACTGCATAATAAATGTAGTAAATAAATCAGTCTTTTCTAAATGGATTACTATCTCTTGCTCCAACGTCTTTAATGTTTGAGTGAATTTGTAGTGTAGAATACTGCTAGAAGAGGACTAAAGAGTTCATGTAATTATTATTTTTAACTGTTGCTTTTTTATTCATTATTTATTGCATATTGTAGAGAAAAGATCACTTGTTGAGGACAGTGAGTACAAATCACTTCAACTCAAGCTTTTCAAAGCTAAACAGGTTAGTTGAACTTCATTTTTCACTTCTCCATGATAATGTGGACCATCTATGACAGATTTTCTAATATGCATTTACATAAACTCTACAAGAACTCTATTTTAAGCAAACTCTTATCCATTACAGGTTTACTTTGTTTTGCTGTCCATTGGGTAATTTGAGATTCAAAGGACTTTAATTTGATCCTTTACTTGACGTGGGAAATAAACTGAGGGCAGGCCAGAGGGAGCCCAGAATCACAACAGCCGACTGAAAGTCATATGATAAGGATTTGTATGGGAATATATCTTAAGCTAAAGAAAATTGGGGGAAGCTTTGGATCCAAGAAAATTTGGTTATGATGTCAGCGTACAACCGATTGAGATTCGCACCTGTTTCTGTTAAATAGCTGGGCTAATAATGAATATTTTATATCTTTCATGCACATTTTCACAAAGTGGAATATTTTGTAAATAAATCAGTTTTATTATTTTGCAAGCAAATTTCCTTCTATGCATAACAGCAAATTACACAAGCAGCATTAGAGCTATGATCCTGACATTTATGTGTCATATTTATCAATAATAATATTGAATGTTACTGCCCTGTAAAATAATTGTTTAAATTTGCATTTGTTTCCGGACATGGTTACTGGGCGAAGTTAAGGTTGTGTTTCATTGTCGTTTTTCAGGCCTATCTCATAGCACAGATCACAGTCAAATGAATTTCCTTAAACTTGGCGGATGAAATATTTTACACATTCTAAAACTCAAGAATTTTAAGTTTTGTGGAAATCACTCAATTTTTGTGCAATTTGCAAAAATACCATTGTAATAGAAAATTTGCTCTTATCGCCAAACCCAAGCTTCAAAATAAATTTCAGGAACTCAGATGAAAGCGATAATGATTGAACTCATACATATCCAAAACTTATAATTATCTGGCTACTTCTGATGGGACGTGAGCAGGTTAGAAAAATACTGAAATTGGCTCACAATTAAGTTGCAGTCACCTTAAGATCTAGATACCCAGGGCTGGAAATAATGTTTTTCTCTTTAAAAGGACATATGTCCTCCTAAGGCACCATCTTGGTCGGACAAAACTTAATTTTGGTCGGACATCACCAGAAAAAGTTTGAACTTTATATACTTAATTTACTTTATATTTACGTAGATTTTTATTCTTCCTTACCGTAAAATGATTTATGATAAAAACATTCTCAGGACATATTGTCCGAACACTTCGTCGGACACTGGTAAATTTTGGTTGGCAAATGTCCCATGACCTACTGTTATTTGCAGCCCTGAAATACTGTACCTCCATTTTTGTTGTCATCTGACTCAGTTTCTGCTTGTCTTATCAAAATGGGTGCCCAGTTTTCATGCCTGCATCGCAATTAAATTTGGACACTCCACAGCATCTCAAGGCTTAACACCGAAGGGGTGAAAAGAGGAAAATTGTCTTGAATACAAAGCCGTGAATAATATTAATTTTCGTCCAAATATTTATCTCAATTTAACTTTGGAAAGACCATTAACACTAATACTAACTGATAAAAAAACTTTGCACACCTTTGCTCATGACTGCTGATCATGTCCCCAAACTGGCAACTTCATTGCAAGTTTAGTCACCAATTATATTTTTTTACTCGCCATGGCTACCAAAATGGTTGCAACTTGAAGCACTGTAAACTTTACGAAATAATTTAATTATTTACTGGGCTTCAGAAACCCAGCCATGTTCCTCTGCTATGCTAATAATGCAAAGTTCTTTTCTTTCAAAATTTAGGAGATTGAGAATTTGACCTTGGATTTGGAAGCTTGTCAGCAGCAACTTCAAAGCAAGTATGGTGCTGTAAAAATCATCCAGAGATTATCTCGATTGGAGGAAGCACGTCAAAATCATTGTTCTAGAAAGGCTCTAGAAGCTAGTAAGAAACTTGAGCAGGTCAGTTTACAGGAAGGTCATTAAAGGTGACAGTAGTTCAGTGATATACATTATACAGTCAATTCTCCCTATTAACACAGACACCTCTCTAAGACACGGACAGTCAGGACCAGTCCCAAAGGTGTCCATCTTAGGGCTCTTTCCATTTGTCAGAACTGGCCGGCCAGACCATTGCTCAACCAGTCAGTTTGAAAATTAAATAGGCTTTTTCCAAGATTTTTTTTGCCAAAAAACCATCTCCTTCTTACAAACTATTCAGGATTTGACTGATCTGGCTGGAGAGTTTTTATCAAAAGGGAAATTATCATTGCGATGAGAATGGTCTGGCCGGTCAGTTCTGATAAGTGGAAAGTGCCCTTAGAGACAGTTGACTGTACCTTCTAATATCTACATTATGTGCTATTCACCAGTGTTCTTGTACAATAGATCCATGAACATCCAGGACAGTCACAAAGATTTCAAGTTTCCAGGTACCGGTACACATGCTATTAGTGGGTGGGGAGGTAATTGAACTGCTAGGCTGTATTTTTGGTTCTATTTTCCTCTTGTTTCCTATGAAAGTAGTGGAGGATCATTCTATCAGTTGCCAAAGAGAAATCCCTGGCCTCCTGCCCTCTGTGACAGTTGCTTAAAAAACTAACTTCATTTGTAACTGCTAACATCTGGCAGCAGTTGGTCAAAAGGTTGGTACCGTATTTCCCCCCCCTCACTTCGATGGAAATGTTAAAAATAATTGCCTCCCTCGAATAATCACCCCCACCACTACCACCACCACCACCCCTCTAGGTTACCTGCAAGGGACACCCATAGCGGTAAACTTGGAGGATGAAGCTAAAAAGGAGTCTGATCCAGCAAAACTGATCAGTGACAATTCAAGCTCTGACGCAGAGAACATTGACATTGAAAATTAATCAAGGAACCAAATTTGGAAGACTTTAAATGCCAATGTTCAGTTTATTTGACATAATTATTTTTTTATTTAATGGGAAAATAGGATAAAGATATTTAGGGCACAACTGAAATAATCACCTCCCTCGAATAGTCGCCTTCCCTCGAATGATCGCCCCCGGCTATTATTCAAGGAATTACGGTAATGCTATCCGCCTTATAAATCTCTATCCACTGTGTAGTGCAATATTATTATTGGTTTATCCTAATACCTGTTCATTGGATAATGATTTATGCAGTGATTAGGGTTATAAAGCTTTTTACTATAACTGACTGATTTCTTGTGCACTGACAACGTTTATTGAAATAGCTGTGTATTCCCCTGAAAAGGTATCATGAAATAAATTTGTATAGGTAATAGCATGATTTGTAGTGATAATTGGCATAAATATCATGAGTGATATTTCAAAATTGTTATATGTAATAAATTTGAGACAATTTTGAAATGTCACAAGTGGTATTTACGCCAAATATCACGTACAAATCATGCTATTATTTGTTTATACTACTACCCGCAAAAGGTTTGTAATTTTCACATGTAGGTATTTCAAATTGAGCTGAAATACCACTGATCTAAGCCGATCAAATTGCAGAAATTTCTCATGTAGTAGTATAAAACGTGTTATTTAGGAGGTGAATTTTCTTCAATGGGAGCTGGAACTGAAGCAGAGCTATTTGATGGACAGTGAGAAGACATGGGCCGAGAGGTTTGACAGAGTAGCAACAGAAAATGCCACACTTATGGTTGCACTGCAGGCAAGATCTGATGAACTGAGAAAAGTTTCCATGGAGAAAATGGGTAAGTAATAATTATTGATCCCAATATTCACAGTTATTGTCCTGACAAAATCTCCCGTAAAGTGTAATATACGGGGGATAACAAAAGTAAAACGCGCGCTCTGATTGGTCAATAAATGAGCCGTTTTACTTTACTATTAATTTGCGCACTGTTTGCCCACTGTCAAAATGTAGTACCTGTCAATTAGTATGTGTTAATTTTTATCATTCAGATCATTTTCTTTTTCTTTTTTTAAGTTTTGAATTGTCTGGTCCATAGATCATAACGGAACCTCCAGTCCTTCGGCATTGATTCGGTGAGCGGATTTGCTGGTTTCGTGTAGACGGAAGGTCGATTCGTGTAAAAAAAAAAAAAAAAGCAAATTTACGGGTTTCAAAGATAATCCGTATTCGTTTGTACGGGGTCTCATTTGTTGGTTTTTCGCTATCTTCAGCGCTAATGCGGGAGCGAGATGAGTTGGCGGCTGCCCTTGAAGTTCGAGAGAGAATCAAGTATGACCTGGCCACCCCTGAAAGGGAAGAGGTTTTATCAACAGGAGACCTTATTATTGAGGTAACTATGAGATTGACTATAGTCTACCGGACGAGACTTTTTTCGAGCGCTGAATTCAGGGAAAGAATGTGTATGTTCAACGTCTGCGTTAACGCGCGACCTGTCACACACTGTTCCTATTTTATTTACGCACTTCAAGCCAGTTTAAGTTTGGGTCCTTGCGATAAAAAGATACGCTACAGTGGAAATCCACGTTTAGAAGCTGCTTACTGACTTTTGACGACTATAGATAAGTAACTTTTTAAGCTTCAGTGAAGCTTACTTACCCATTGGGCAAGGCTCCAGGCAAGTCGTCGTCTAATAAAATAGCCTACGTGTAGCCGCACCCTGCCCCCAATAAAGGAAAACTCTCCGTTTTTCCTTTGTCCAGAGGGAGGGTGCGGCTACACGTACGCTCCTAATAAAATCATTAACGAAGATGAACAAGATTTGGCCCCAGGCAAGCAAAATGCAAGAGCTGCTTGCCCACAGGACAAGCTTGAATACAAGTTTTTTTCAAGCCGTGTGGACTTGTTTACGCTCGTAAAGCCAGATAAACTTTACGAGCCAGTTATTAGCCTGTTCCAGGCGTTCAGATAGTGTACAATTTAACTCGCTCTTTACTGACCGCCGCGCTCTACTATCTGAAGGCCTGGAACAGGCTAGCCAGTTATTTGAACGGAGTTTAGCCAGTATTTAACAAAACCCGCGCTCTAAGCCATTTTCAGTTAGCCGAACGCTTTTATCTTAACACCATTTATCGTGAATGGGTGTCAATGGGGCATTAGTGTAAAAAGGTTCTTAATATTTTATATCAGTGGCACTCTTTACTGCGTGTTTATATGAGCGTTATTCTGTTATTTTTTCGTAGTAAGCAACTCTCGGCGCCTGCCAGTGCAGAGGGAACAATCAAGAGCCGTGCGCATGTGCAAGAGCAGCAGTAGATGCCAAGCGGGATGTTGCAAAACTAAAACACGAGGTACGGAGACAGATTGTTTATCCTGCCCTTTTGAATTTTTTTTAGAATTGTTAAGGAAATTTTCACCGTGTACAAATGCCAAAATTTTTTAAGTAAGTTTGTGATATGATTGGTCCACGCAAACATCAAAAGTTAAGCGTATCTTATGTTCAAATAGGCCATTTCCGAGTGCCAAAAACTCTCAAGGCTAACTGCAAAGCCTTTCTTGTGAAAATGAGTTTTATTCCCATGAGATTGAAAAATCATTTTCACGTCAATGGCTATGCACTCAGCCTCGCTTTGAAGCAGAGGCTTGGGGAAACTAGGAAAAGGCCTGTTGGCTAACTGAGCCGACAAGTTCGCCTATTTCTACGGAAAAAAAAATCCTTTTTCTCATGTAGGTTTCTTCATTTAAGGTGACTGCATGCCGGCTTCGCTCTTTTCCTTTCTTCTTGTTTTTGTTTTTTTCAAACTGGCATTTTTCTTATCTTCAAAGAGGATGCAGTCAAAATTCTCCCTTGTTTTTTAGCTTGAGGTAGTTCATAGGCGAGAAGAGGAAGCCCTCCTAACTGCCGATGCATATCGGGTGGCATTTGAGCAGCAGCTAGCGAAGAACTCCTCACTCATTTACGAACTACTAGAAAAGTCAAGATGGAAAAAGAAGATCAGCTTCCCCGGAAAAAGAAAAGAAAAAACAACGGGTGAAAATGGGTTAAAAAACGAAGAAGAAGAGTTGGTCCAACAGATTAAAGCCCACAAAGACGACATAGTTGCAAAGCTCCTTGGAATGGTAAGCGTTTATGAAAAGAAAATCTTACAAATTCACAGCTCATGGAGGATTTTCGGTTGAATAATAGTCCAGTCTTTGTCTTCGTTCTTCCAAGGTTCCTCGAAAGCTCAGGCGACAATCGCTGTCCAATGGTCACGGCAGCGGTTGAGCAATCTTTTTAAGAGGATATAAGATATATGATTGGAAATAACGCTAATGTGGGTAGATAAAGGCACAATGTGCACTTCTTATGAGTATAAATGTGATTATTTCCTTGGTTGCTAACCCCCAAAATTTAGATTTTTCCCGGGAGGCCCTAAGACTCCTCCAAAGGAAGAGGCGGGTGCTTCCCTTTCCATACCCACTCAAACACGTGAGTGCTTCCAATCTAATCTGTTGCTCTTCTCCTTCTTATTTAAATTTTCTAGAGAACTCTGTATTTCTGCTGTGGGTCTCTGTTGAACTTAAATTTATTGATAATGTAGCGAAGCGAATCAAAAACTGCACCTGACTATATCGTCACCCTCCACGTTTGCATGTTATGTGTCAGTACTGCTTTTCTTTGTTATTTGCAGCTCACTGACAATAGCGAGGCTCTTGCCCATCAAAGACTAGCGACCAAACTGTTGGCAGCGAAGATGAAAGAGATGGAGAGAGATAGTTCTGCATTTTCATCAAAGGCGTTACAAATTGAGACTTGAATGGTACAGCTCTGGTTAAAAGTGTTGAAAAGTACAGTGAAGTTGTAAAATAAGCTCTACTCGACGTCAAAATTCCTTGAGATACTTTATCTTCAAATAATTTTTTTGATCATTTATCCTATCGCATTTTTTGAAAAACGCCAAGACCAAAAATTGAACATTTAGGTCCTCTCCCCCCCCTCCCCTTACTAGTTCAGTTGATCAGTGGGATTATAGGTAGCAAAGAACAGTTAGCACCATAGAAAATAGGGTGGCCCAAACAGGTAACACCCGTGAAAGAACTAACAATAATGGTGGCTTGAACAGTAGCATCATATACAATAGGGTGGCTCAAACAGTTAACACCCGTGGAAAAGCTAAGAACATGGTGGCTTGAACAGTTAGCACCATAGAACTTATAGTATCAAACTTGTACCCGGTTCACGTTGAAAGTATCTTTACAGTTTTGTCGCCGATTGTAAGTTTTAGTTCTCAAGAAAAAGTGTCAAGAGGATTTTATCAGCGTGTGTGGAGAGCGTTTTCGATTGATTTTTGCTCGTTCTCTTTTTGGTGCGACAAATTCTTGTGTCGTATTAATGGCTCACCTCCTGACTTTATTTCTTTGAGCGGTTAATTAGAAAAACAAATACCTGGCTATCGCAAGAACCAATCTTGTTCTTTGATCAGTCGGTGGAGAAACTTGCCGGCAAAAAGCAATTGTAAAAATAGAAAACTGGAGTCTTTATTTTAGCTTTGAGTGATTTTCACTCTTGGAGGTGGGCTCATCAGCGACATGCCCATCGATATTTAAAGGGAATATTAACTTTAGACTTTATTAATGAGGCTGTCGTATATTTATTAAGATCAGGAAAGAGACTGCACAGATCAGATTGTTTCATGTTAGGTCGCTGCTATATAAATGAAACATTTTTTATTTATAGCCTTAAGATTTATTTTATTGAGTGAATTTTTCATCATCCTCGTCAAATTGTCATCTAGGTGTGGCAATTCTCAGCTTGGCAAGTCAGTTGTGGCTCAGACTATTTTTATCGGAGAGGTTGCCTATTTATAACTTCTGCCTTTCCTTGTTTAGTGTAGGTATTGTAAATGTTATATTTAATATATTGTTTATAAATAGAAAGAAAATCGCATATTTTTGCAGAATACAGAGACCTATGTAAATTATGTAAACGAGGCCTTACACAAACACACTATGACGGCGGTTGGCAATATTAATATTATAAATTTCTTTATGAACAACCCCAAAACAGTGCCGTAGCGCGGGGAGGGGCCGGGGACCCTCCCCCAATAATTTTGACAGGCACGTTTACAGTAATTTGGTCAGCGGCCACGCTCTTCACGCTGGTCTTCGGTTCCATGTGTTCATTTCAGTTCGATAAAGCTTGAAAATTATTTCGTATTTATGGCTTCAACAAACAAAAATTAAGCGGGTATTAAACAAAGTACACTTCTTAAGTGGGAAATTAATGCTCTCGGAAGGCTTAAAATGCTATTTCAGAGACCCTATATTTCAAAATCTTCCGAGGGTGCATGCCCTCGGACCCCCCTGGCAGCTCGCGCCTTCAGTGCTCGGGATTGCCCCCCCCCCTAATAAATCTAACCTTGCTACGGCACTGCAAAGCGATACCTATTACGGGTAAAAATACTGGCATCCAGTCCTGGACGGGGTTGGGCGTTTACGACCTAACCATTAACCAATAAAGTATTTAATTTCCTTCTCATTCACCATGGCATTTTTACAGTGAACTGGTGTTTGCCACCACAGACAGCTTTCTTCGGCCTTGTGAAACAGTCTCTTTTGAAGCACAGAGTGTGACACCATTCCGTTTAGTAGACGAAGAAGTTTGTTTTCGGAAGTAAAGCAATATTTTTTGACGAATTTGCCGGTTCTTCCATAAGCAGATTGATGGGTTTGTGCAGGAATTGAGGAAAGCTAGAGTTTCCGCCCAACTATAGTGGTTATAAGTCTTAATGTCCTCCTTCAAAATCTGGTGATAAATTGTGACAAATAAAACGGGTATGTTGAATAACAAATAGAATCCCACGATGAAAGAAACAGTTTTTGTAAGCTTTTCTTGTCTCTGTCGCCACTGAAAATTGGTAATATGCCCGATATGGAGTTGAACTTGGCGTCGGTGTCGACGCCAAACGAGCACCATTCCTACGTTTGCAGCTCCTGACAGCAAAAGACAGAGAAACCACACAAGCAAATGCGTTGCTCTGGAGACATTGTTTATTCCCACCCATTGCAGACTTGTTACTGAGACATTAAACATCCAGATGGCCAAGCTATATTTAACGGCTCGTTTCGACGAGAAGACATTGTTGTATCTTGCATTAAGACGGACTGCCACAAATCGCTCGTAGCTTACAGCTGTAAGAGTCATAAAAGACACTCCGCAACAAATGTAGAAGGCATTAGAGTACACAACTCGAACGAAGCACGGAACTGTTCGATGCTGATTTTCCATGAGTCTGTAGGTGATGTAACCTGGTTGAACTGTGAGACCAACTAAAATGTCAGATAGAGCCAAGCAGCCTATCAAGAGATTTGATGGTGTTCGAAGTAGAGTGTTCTTAAAGATGGTAATGGTAATCAGAAGGTTCAAGATGATGGCAAAAGGGGCGGAAATGATATTTATGATGGCTGTTACAAGATTTAGCAGGAAACGCTCTGAAACCCGGTCAAAAGATGGATCAGGAAGATGAAAGCAAGATGACGTTGACGTACTGTTAGCCATGGAGAGGTTGTCTGCCTCCTTGACTGACTGCAATGTTACAAGAAAAGTGTTGAAAAACTTTTAAAGGCAGTAATCCTTTTTCAAAGACGAGGAAAAATTCCGGAAGCCGGTAGCTCCCTTTTAATAATTGGTATAAAACACAAATTCAATCTATTGCTGACAGAAAATTGATGCGTGTTGTAGTTAAAGTCCATTAAGCGGCAGTGAGATACTTTTTGGCTTGAAAGCTAAAAAAAAAAAAGGTTTCTGCGGAACAAAACTTCAAATTTGCCGCTTTGGATCTTTTATTACTATTATTTGGGGTCAAAATATAAGTTTGCAAATTCCTACCAACAACGCGGGGACCAGAAAAGAAGCAATCCTTATATTGCATCAACCGTAAGCAAATTATATTTGGCCGGTGTTTCGGTAAAAAAAATAAGACTTGGCTTCTTGTTTTAGCACTTTAGCACTTGTTTTAACACAACAGGTCGCAACGAGTCTCGCTAAATGGCTTTACATCTGACAGTTTTAAGCTTCCTTATGGCGTTCCACAAGGATCGTGTCTGGGGCCATTGTTGTTTACCATTTATTCCAGCAAACTGTTTGAACTCATCAAATACCATCTACCTGAAGCACATGCCTACGCTGATGACACTCAGCTTTACCTGTCGTTTAGTCCTGACACGGCTACTAATCAGACTGATGCGGTCATTGCCATGGAACGCTGTATATCGGACATTCGTACGTGGATGCTTACGGATAAGCTCAAACTTAATGATGACAAAACTGAGTTCATGTTGATTGGTACAAAACAACAACTTTCCAAAGTAAATATTGATTGCCTTACCGTAGGAAGCATTGACGTTGCTCCTGTCACTGTGGCAAGAAATTTAGGGACATGGTTCGATTCTAACTTGAATCTCCAGGAACAGATCCACAAAACTTGTAAATCTGTGTTTTTCCATTTATACAATATTCGGCGTATCCGAAAATATCTGTCCCAGGAGTCTGCACGAACTTTGGTCCATGCTTTTATCATTGGTCGTATAGATTACTGCAACAGCCTTCTATTTGGTTTACCCTCTGATCATCTACTTAAACTGCAACGCTTGCAGAATGCAGCTGCTCGGCTTATATCTAATATCCCTCGCTACAGTCACATAACACCAGTACTATGTTCGTTACATTGGCTTCCTGTCAAATTTCGTATTGATTTTAAAATACTTCTTTTTACTTTTAAAGCTATCTACGGTCATGCGCCTGGTTACTTGATCGATTTGATTGCTATTAAAGAACAGCCGCGCTATAATCTCCGTTCAGCTAGCGGTCTTATCTTAAAGTATCCTAGTTTAAAACTGAAAAAGACTTTAGGGGATCGTGCTTTTTCATCTGCTGCCCCTAATTTATGGAACAATCTGCCCCTTCACATCCGTCTTGAGGACAATTTTGAACGTTTTAAATCTGTACTTAAAACGCATCTTTTTAGACTAGCTTTTGATATGTAATTTTTTTAACCTACTATGTAATATATTTAGTGTTTTTTATCTTTATTTAATTTTTGGCGTTGTTTATTCTTAACCTTAATTATTTTGCTCATTTTAGCTTTTATTTTCTTTTAACATTTACATGTTGTCACGCGCTTTTGATCATATTTGCATGGAAAAGGCGCGTTATAAATTTTTAATTATTATTATTACTTATACTTATTTAGTTGACTTAGTTCCGC